TGGGGGGTTAGGGTTTAGGGTTTGCCATGTAGTGCTGCAAGCTGAAAGGGTCAGCTTTCCAAATATCAGAGTTTGTCTTTCTCCGGGGTGTTTGCCAATAAGTTTTCCCGTCGGCGTGATGGGGGCCTACCATGGGCCCGCAAAGGTAAAGGGCTCTCCCAGCTCTGAGAACACTTGGCATAGTGACGGTAGGATTAGCTTCTCTTCTAAAATAGGTTATCGTTTAATTTCGCATCTGCCGCCGGTTTAGGTAATCTTTGTCCTGTACCATAAACTTTGTCCTTTACTATAAGACCTGTAAGGATCCTGACATCAAGGACCCCAACATCAATGACCCTATTACCAATAAATGACGTGCCTCCATCAAGCTCGATAGTCCTAATCAGCGTGCTTGCAACAATGAGACATGGAGCTTCGCAGTCAAGCTGCAGCTTTTTGGGCCTTGATGCTTTCAGCGTACTTCTTAGAGACATCAGCTGATGGTCTTGATGGTTGGGACAAGCAGTCTTGTTGCACTACTTAGGCGGTTTGTGCTAGTTGTTGCTGCTACACTTGCCCGTCGCACTGGTCATGAAGCGGTTGGCAAGTGACTCACCGCTTATCATTACAAGAGGGTTCCTAATCCCTATACTCCCTAAGCCCTGAACCTCTGCCAGCCTCAGCCTTCAATGAGCTCAAAGGGGCTCGGCCCGTGCCTCTTTCTGTAAAACTTTGAGCCCTCACCGCCTCAACCCTAAAGCTTCAACCCTGCCAAGTGAAGCCCCAAACCCTAACCCCAAAACCCTAAGCCCAAAATCTTGAACCCCCAACTGAACCCCAAAACCCTAAACCCAAAATCTTGAGCCCCCAACCCCTAAACCCTAGCCTTGCCTGCCTGGTGCGAGTGTGAGAGTCGAAACCCGACAGCCAAGAGGTTTCCGGGTGGCCCTACCCTTAGATGCTGAACCAGGACCCCATGGAGAGGTTCGTCTCAGGCCGTGCCTGGCGATCTCGGCAGGAGCTTTATACCGCCGTGAAGGCCGGGCCGATGTTTAGGGTTTAGGGTTTGGGGGTTTAGGGGTTTAGGGGTTTAGGGGTTAGGGTATTAGGGCTGAGTGCTGAACGCGTTCTAAGCGAGCTCAGTACCGCCGCACCCCCGGCTCCCGCAAGAAAGAAGTATGCCTTAAATTCTAGTCTGATTGCATTTCTCATTTACGGTATCTTCCTTGCTTAAGGGGCTGAATGTTGCAGTAGGCCAGAAAGTCAGTTGCAATTCTGCGATACCCCTAAGCCTACGGCCGAACTACTGAGAGCATTGACACCCGACCCGAAGATGGCAAACAGGCCTTGACCTATCGGGGCCTAGTTTGAGGATGTCTCCCTGAACTACTGCTTTCGTTTTGAGCATGGAGCCTAAAGCAAAGACTGCTTCTTCTATTCTAAACCCCTAAACCCTCAACCCCGAAACCCTAAACTTTGCCCTAAACCCTTAAAAAAAACCTAAACCCTAAACCCAAAGGAAAAACCCGATTATAAGCCCCAACAAAGAAGAGCCCAACGACCCTAAAAGCGCGTCGAATCCGAGGACTGGCGCCCAAAGCTTCTCCAGGGCTTCTCGAAGGAGCCGGTCGAACGAGTTTGCCGCGGTGGATGCAAGAGAGAGGGGTTAGGGTTTAGGGTTTAGGAGTTTCGGGAATTAGGGGTTTAGGGGTTTAGGGCAGAAAAGGGTTCAGGGCATTATAGGGTTTCGGGTTCTGGGTATCATACGGTTTAGGGTGTTATAGATGGTAGGGTATTATAGGTTTTAGGGTTTTGGGGCATTGCAGAGTTTAGGGTCTAGTGTATAGTAGGGTTTGGGGTGCTATGCTTCTTCAAGGGGTTTCACAAGAGCTGCGTAAAGGCTTTAGTCAGAGGTTGGTCTGATTAGTTAGCAGTACTATTCCCTTTTCAGTCTCTATACACATTTTTGTATAATAAACCCCAAAACTTATGAGTAAGGAGTCCTTTATTTTAGACTTCTTTTGCAAGAGGGTTCTATGAGCCCGAGTTTTGGGTTGAGGTGCATAGGACATATGAGGGTTTGGGGCCACATTGGGTGTAGAGCTTCCTGTAGCCCTAAGTACACAAACCTTGTCTTTCAGGGTTCCTGATTATGATTTTCGCATCTTGGCCTTGTTGGTGTTCAGAGTTGGATTTTGCAGTTTAGTTCCTGGAAGCTTTGGCGAAGGGTTTTCAGCGGAGGTGCTTGGCAGCGGTTTAGGCCCCGGCGGGAGCCACCGCACTGCGTTTTGAGCCGAAGATCCAAGGCACGCGACTCCTAAATGCCCTTTGCTCGAGCAACCCTTGAAGTGCGCACAGCATGTCCGCTTCTTCCGAAGTGCACGATCCCTTGTAAATCCCCATGCATGGGGCTCGGCGTGTTGGTAGGTACACCGCGCGAAGCTTGTTTTCGCTTATGGGGGCCGCGAGCCAGTGTAAAAGTATTGTAAAGAGCAATGCACGCACCTCGCGGCGCTTCTGTAATGTCCCGGATTGACAGCTCTCCCGGTGGACGCGGTATATGTCTGATTCATGGGGCGGCGTGTCCGGTCGGCGTCCTGTAGACTCCAACAGATACGCCGTTTGGTGCTTTGGGAAATTCTGGAGATGACCTTCCCTATGCATTCGAGCCGGTCCTTCATCGGGGTGGGACGGTGCTGGTGCCCGCCGGCGGCTCATTCGCCTCCTCTGGTCGGCCGGTAGCCGCGATCCTTGTGAAATTCCAACAGAGGGCTTGCACGCTGGCCGCCATCCGTTATCCGTTCCAATAATACCCGCCTGCTTGTCACGAAAAGTCAACCGTCTCGGTGGACACGGCGAATTCCGTTGTAGGTTTGCTCCTGAATTGGGGGTCTTGAATGTGCGGTGGGGTCAAGGGCTTCCAGGCTAGGTTTGTTACCCGAGTAGTACATTTTTTGGCCTTAGGGCATGTAAATAGGGACTACTGACGATTGTAAAGGGGCCAAACTACATACTATTTGGGCGCATGGACCCTTAAATATAGGGCTACAGGATTATCGTTTCAGAATCTGGAGGGCCGGCGCACCTGCACAGCTTTGTCTCAGGCTGGAAAAAGATCTTGGGCCGCCCACCTATATGGGGCGAAGAGATGCAAGACGCTCATCGCCGCTACGCGAGGCTATCCGCCACCTAGAGCCTTAAAAGCATGGTTTTTTCACCCACTTCGGAGCAACAGTGCTTGAAGCCTTAAACCCCTAAGCATCATAACATCGCTAGAATTAGAGTGTAAGCCCCGCAACCCCTGAACCCTTTTTCCATAAAGCATACAATCGAAACCCTAAACCCCTAGATTTGAGCAGGAGATTCTTGACCTACTTGAGCCGGGGTCGGCGAGCCCAGAAGAACATGATCCTGGTATCCCACGGCATCATGGTGCAGACCTGCCTGAAGGCGACTCGGGTCTTTTCGGGGACAGGCCTCTTTCCTTGCTGCCTTGCGCAGCTTGTAGTCTTCGGGTAAACTTGCTATACCATGCTCTTCTGGTGTACTAGCTTAAGGTCCTTCTGGTTTGCTCAGACAGACAGCAGCGTCTGTGCGGGCCAGGTCCATTAGAGCGACCATCACCCAAACAACCGATACTTGGAGGTTCATGGGTAGTTATATGTGGGGTTATAAGTCCCCTAATATAGATTACAACTACAGTTACCTACTTATCATCCCACTTATAACTACCCATGAACCTCCAAATACTGAGGTGCTGCCGAGCACCTCCGGGAGGGGTGTGGCATCAATCCCTTACTGCGGCGGGCTTATGGCGAATCTATGCCAGATCTCGAAGCAGGCAGGAATGGACAAGAGTGCGCCATGCTCCGAAGAAAGGCTTTGCATGCTGGGAAAGAGCTTATTGTCACAAAGCTTGGCTAAGGCTGCCTGTGCATACGTGTGCCTCGGTGATGCTCAGTGGTGCGTGTGTGTGTGTGTGTGTGTCTGTCGCATGAGACTGGCAGCTATTATGCAGGGTTTCCATTTGTAGGCTAGAGGGGCTGGAAGTCGTCAGCGGCCTCCAGAAGTACAGCCGGAGAGTGCAGTCACCAGGAGTTTTGACACGGACACGCGTTTTAAACTCCCCTGCAGGCGTTAATACAAACGCTGCTGCTACACAGCTTGAAACGAAAGTCGCATCAGAGGTCGGTTGAACAAGCAAACATCGAGATTGTGATTGGCCAACGTTTGTGGGACTTTGTTCTACACTCCTGTGGGGACTGACCCGCGACCCAAATTTTTAGTTTTATGCCCCCACACGGAGGGGGACAACTTTAAAGCCCTTAGAACAGTAATTGAAGAGGAGGTCACTGAAGTCCGGGGCGAGCTTTTGTAGCCTATTGTAGCGGCAACTGGTGAGGCGGCCGGCACTGAAATGGACGACGACGCAGCCCACTTTGTTGCAGACTCGAGCTCGCCGCAGAATCCGGTGCCAGCGGGGGATTGGCCTGAAAGGGCCACCGAGAGGAGCGAGTATAGGGTGTTGTTAATGCTGTAGTAATGCTGTCATGAGAAGGGATGTTCATCCGGTGCGCTTTGTTTGGCGCTGCTACTTCGCAATCGAAAGGACCAGCACCGGAAACGAACACATCGAACAAGCGCAGCTTCACGGATGCTTCGCTGCATGTGAGCAACAGTTTACATGCTCACGGATACATCATCAGCCAATGATGGATGTGGATTGCTCTCAGCTTCGTGTGAGTACTTGGAACCAACATCTCCTCAACCCTAACTAGCCGCAATCCTGGTGATCAACACCATCAGCACTCGAGAAGCCCTATATACCCGGGAGCCATAGACTCCTACACCCTAAAACCTGAAGCCACAATCCTTCTCCCCAGCCCATAAGCCCCAAAAGCCCTGGGTTTAGGGGTTTTGGGTTGATAAATTAAATAGAAACCATATTAAACCTGCAAAGGATGGGACGTTCAGCCCCTGGGGGTGTCTTTCGAGTCCACGGACGACACGCCGAAGACACGCGCGAGCTCGGCGAAGCGATACCAGGATCTACTGGCAAGGCTTCCCGGATCCCCCCAAAATGAAACAATGGCCCAAAACCCATAAACGGCTATTTTTCTACATACTTTCAGGGTCCAGGTAGGGTGCAGGATCCTACCCTGAGGGTGAAAAGGACGCAAGAAGAAGGGGGGGTTCTATAAGAGGCCGTTTTGGGATCTGTAGGAATTTGTGGGTTTTTGAAAGTGGTGGTCCAAGGACACAATCATGACTTTGGGTCGGATGGTAGTTATCTAGGATAGTATTTGGGGGAGTATATATGGTTATTATCATTATTATTGCTGTTATTATGTTCTTGGACTTGGAGGGTTTAGGGTTTAGTAGGGGTACTATCGGGCTTAGGGGTTTGCTTAGGGCTATATAGGGCTTTAGGATTCGCGGTTTAGGGTTCTGGCTTTCCCCCCTTAAGGGGGGCTTTGATATCCCTGATGAAGCGGTAGCTGGGGGCTGCTACAAACGGTCGTCGGCGGGTGTAGGCTTTTGCTGGGAGTTTTGACTCTGGGGTTTCTCCGGGTTACGGTTGGGGAGTTTGGGTTCAGAGTTTTAAAAGTTTAGGTTTTCAGGCAGCTCTGGTTGGGGTTTGGGGCTAAAGAAGGGGTCTTGCATATGTGGTGGTAAGCCTTGCGCGCTGTGCTTCTTTCCGTCGTAAAAGTAGCTTAAACTTGGAAGCTGGGCCTCGTTGGCAAGCTGTCGGTTAGTTTGTGATCTGCACCTCATTGGTTCTTTCATCCTTTGTGCATGATTTCTTCTCAGCCCCTTTGGTTTCTCTCGTCTTCGTCCTTCACCGCCGAAGCAGAAAGACCCCTGAACTGAAAACCGGCACAAGCCTGCAATCTGAACTGGACAGAGAAGGCTGAAAGCTGGCAGCTTTTCCTGGGCTCAGCTGCAGCTGCTGCTTGGACAGCTGCCAGCCGAGCTGCCGACACACGCCTTCCAGCCAACCGGCACGGCCGACCTCAGCGACACTGCCGCCCAGATGGTTTAAGGGTCGAAGCTTCTGTAGGCTATTCAGGATTCCACGAGGTCTAGTGAAATTGAAGATTAATGTGACGGGTCGCTGAATGTTTTGCATTTGGCGCCTGCCGCAAGCATGCATCTGATCGCTGACGAAAACATTTCCTCCTTCTCGGCGGAACCCTGAACCCTCAAACCTTGGGGAGATTCGGTGATGCGGGTAATGTAGTTAATAGTTAGAATAGGGTTTTGGGGATATTATACTATAATTACAATAAGGACCCCCAAAACCCTATTCTAATTATCAAGGCCCCTACATTATCGGGTCCACGGTATTGGTAGTGCCAGTAGTATTGTTGCACCGAGGCCACGCAGGTCTCCATGGAGCTCTTCAGGAGCCCTCCGAAGTTTGTTCCTTTGTCTGCGGCTTGGCCTGCCCTGTTGGGTGTTCGGGGTTCAGGGTAATTTTTAGTGGCTTTGGGGTTGAGAGGTTTATAAAGGGCTTTCGGGTTTTTGCTGCAAAATGCATTGAGGGTTCTGCATCACTGGTGCTAGTGTTGTTTTGGGCACCGCATGATACTTGTAGTTGAACGATCGCCCAAAACCCTGTTCTAACTTTGAAAGCCCCTGTGTAATGTTGTGGCTGTGATGATCATTATTATGTTGTTGCTGCTAAGGTGCTTTTTGTTAAAGGCCTTCAAAGTACAAGATGATTTCGAAGTACTGTCTCGGGTTCTGGGTGTTTCGGGTTCCGAGTTTTCGTGTCACTCAGAGTCAAACCCTAAACCCGGTGTTGCTTCGAGAATTTTGCACTTTTCGCTTCTGTACCAAAACCCAAAACTGTCACTCAGAGGTCGTGGCGGGTGAATTCGTTACTTTCCACAGAGCTTCGTAGCTTTCGGGGCAGATCTGGGAAGCCTCTTACATTCCGTTTGAGGTTCAGGGTTTAGGTGTTTAGGGTTAAGCCCAGAAAAGCAGGGAGTTCGGTCGAGAAGATCTAGCCGCCACTAAACCCCAAAACCCGGAACCCGTATCGTTAGGGTGTACAGAGTTGGGCTTTCGGGTTCAGGGCTCCCTCTCCTCTCCCTTGTCATTACAGAAACCCGCTTAGCTTAGCTCCTTCAGAGGAGCTTGGGGTTCGCATTTTGACTTGGGATGAATGGCTGAAAGTGGCTAGACCTGAGCCCAGCGAGATAAAGGAAGACAAGCCACATATAGAGAGAGCAAGGCACTCGAGGAGGTGAAGGAGGAGTTGCAATGCCGATCTGTGTCAGAGTCAGACTGCAAGTGTCTCGGTGGCAACGGGAGATCATTTTTAGATTTCTCTTTTTGTCGTAGAGAAGTACTGTAGGGCCCTTAAAAAATTAGAATAGGGTTGTGGGGTATATTATACTACGTAAGATTAAACAAGAAGGAACCCCCAAAATATTATTGGTAATTATTTAGGCTTCTATATTAGATCTGCGTAAAAAGAACTTGCAAAACTGCAACGGCAACCCAGGAAACCCAGCATTCCACAACTGAGCCTGAAGGGCAGTCGTTTAATGGGCAGGAGGCTCAACCAATGAAGCATTGGGTTTTTGCGTGGCTTGCTGTTCTTATCGGCGCAAGTCTCAGAGTTGCCATCACGAGAGCGATTATTGCAAGATTTAGTCAATCTAGTCGTCCAGTGGCAGAGCAACATCTCTCCCGACAGCATCTACAATGCACAACCATCCCAGCCGCATTTCAGAGCTCGGGTGCTGATGGTCAACTCGATGTCTTGCGTCATGCCGACACGAAGCAGTGAGCTTTAGCTGTCTCAAAAGGTTGTCAGACAAAGTAGGGCCCACAGAAGGAGCGGGAGCTAAAAACCCTAAACCCAGACCTACACGCTGACATGTGCTGTTATGTTGTGTGGTCTGCACCGTAGCTTCGAGAGCCTTGCCGACCGCATCTTGAATTCACGGGATGTGCGCTGCTCCGCAACATAGACCAAGGGTGTAGGGCTTAGGAATAACAACCAACTGAATCAAGGATTTAGAAGCAGAAAGTAGACGAGGGCTCAGGATGCTTTATGAAGTTTTTGATGTAGACTGTCTGATTTTCGGCCACGGAATCGGGTGTACTCTATTCGCGTGTTGGCACATTCCGATGTGGAGCTGAGTCACGGTTTTGCGGATCAGAGTTCGTTCGCAACTTTTGCCATCTGGCGCAGTCCAGCAATCCAAACTGATTTTAAGATGCTGCCGAAGAGCCAGCAGTGTTTCTCAAGATTCAAGGGGGCCTTCGGCAGTGACCGACAGACCGACACCCTTGACCCGGCAACTTGCAACTCCAAAAATATCTATACCTTAGTTCTTAGTTCATACACAAACCGAAACCCTTACAGGCCCAAACGGCCGTATCTGTGATGCCGCATTAAGCGGTTGAGGGGAATAACAGCTCCATCCCCCCCGGTGCCTGGTGTCTTCAAAGAGCAATTAAAGAGCAACAAGCCCACAAACGTTACGCGAGATCATGCTGATTCCGAGACGCGTACATGTTTTCTTCACTTGCAGCACAAACCATGTGCTGGCACTTCTTCTGTCTGGCGGCGGAATAGATTGGGAAGTGCGGTCTTGCTTAGAGGATGCGGGGACGTAATAAGCAGGCTTCAAGAAGAGTTACATTGTGCGCTTGAATCAGGCTTATCCTATACTTGTAACCCTACTTATAGCTTAATGATAACTATAACCTTTGTACCATTAAGTCGCCTGATCCGTTTTGTGGGTTTGGGTATGTGGCCTCGGGCATAAGGTTAGCACATGCGGTTTCGAGTTCAGGATGGCAGATCTGGTGTAACATAAGGGATTCAATGAATATAAGTAGGGTTTAGGGTTTAGGGCAAGAGTTAGCAGCTGTCTTCCGGTATGGTGCTGGTAGAAGCATCCTGTACTAGGTGCCAAGGAATTGTTCCAATCACTCAGGCGCCGGATCCTATACTATCCCATCTCGTTGTGAAAAGTACACAAAATGAGTGATACTCTTCCAGTACACTCCCCGGTACAGTTGTATGGGCAACATCGCACCCTACCTACAGCCCTAACATAGTCGCTGAAACCCGGCAGAACAAACGCCAAAGAAGCTGAGGAACCAGAGCCTTTGAGTTCAGAGCACTGCTGCTTACATCCCACCTATAGTCTCGATTGCAGTTCCTTTTTGGGTTACCCCATCGGATCCTAAATATATACCTGCTTAAGCCCACAAAAATTCAATGGAGACGATTAGCAGACGATCAATTCCAGCTTCCTCTGTCTTGGGTTGCTGCGAAGAGCGGGGTTCTTAGTGGATGTGCAGGTTTAGCTTGCAGAGACGCGGATCTTTGTTTTGAGGTTCCGGTGCTGAAGGTGCTGTAAAAGCCCTAAACGCTAAAACCCTAAAACCCTAAACCCTAAAACCGTAAACCCTAAAACCCAACCCCTAAAACCCTAAACCCTAAAACCCTAAAACCTAAACCCCTAAACCCTAAAACCGTAAACCCTAAAACCCAACCCCCAAAACCCTAAACCCGACAACCCTAAAACCTAAAACCCTAAACCCTAAACCCTTAAATAGCCAGTCTTGCTGGTCTCTCTGCCGCCCAGAGTCCCTCGTACGTATGCGTAGCCAGTGCCTGGTCCACCCCTGAACCGATGAATGGAGCTACACTTGGCAAAGTATATATCTATATATCTATATATCTATATATATATATACATACACATATATACATGTGTATATGTATGCCTCTGAATGAGCCAGCAGCCACTGAAGGCGTGCGTGCATCCTAGAATGGGACGACTTTTAAGCACGCTGGTTGTGTGGCACCGGGAAGGGTTGAGATTCAAATTTGCTAAGGATAGAGCTCGGGTCGGCTCTCAAACGCCTTCTGTCCCAAGCCCTTGCAGCTGCAGAGCCCGATAGATATGGGACTTTCCGAAAATCAGGGTACCTTATTTTGGGGTCCTTATACTAAGGGTCCTACTATTTAGGGTACCATATTAGGGTCCCCTATTTCCGGAAACCCCTATGTGCCAGATGCAGGTTGCTTCGTTCCATGGGCAGTTCTTCTTCAGAGGTCTTACGGTAGAGAACAGGACTTGAACAACCTTCAAACTTGGGGCTCTACCTGTAACTCTCTTTACCTACAGTTTAGCATCCATTACCCCTTTATTCTAGGTAGAACCCCTAAAAAAACTCTAAGTAATTAGAATCCCAGGAAATGCATTGGGTTTTTGAATATCTCCCCGCATTGCTGCTTTGAGACGTGGGAGCCGGCCCGTGTGCTTGAGTTTCGTCCTCGCCTGAGTATCTCGCTGGTGCCACGAAGACCCGCAAAAACCGATTACCTTGGGGCATTTTTCCCCAAGGAGCCTAAAGCCCTTAAAGCCCTAAACCCTAAACCCCCCAAACCTCAAACCTTGAACTTTCTGAATTTCCGCTCTGACTGCAACATCCCCTTCGAGTCGTGTTTATATATATATATAACTTCTCAACATACACCAGGGACATTACCCTAATTGTCCAGGCCCCTGGAAATACTGGAGCCCGTACTATTTAGCAAAAACCTCACCACTGAACCCTAAAACCCGAAGCCCTAACCCCTAAACCCTAAACCCGAAAAGAAAACCCTAAACCCTAAACCCTAAAGAACCTGTGCAGGAACTCTTATGCTAATCTTGTTGAAGCTCCAAGGCTCCACTTCATGCGCAGCCTGGACAACTGTTGAGGGTGGAGGTTTCAGGGCCCGTAAAAAACCCTAAACCCTAAAAGTTTAGGGTGCAGGGTTCAGGGCTAGGTGTAGGATTTCAAATCTGCTTTATTCTTGCGATCTTTGTAGGTTGCTTTTTGCCGCAAGTAAGAAACGAGACAATTCCTGCTCGTATCCTGTCTATATGATAGACCATGGTTCCTGCCTGTTGTGGCTGTTTTGCTTTTGTGCTGACACGAAATCCTTGACGACAACTGGTCAGTAAAAGAGACTGTTGATTGTCCCTCTTTACTTCACTGGTACCAGACTACTGCATGCCATTGATACGGAACGTTTTGTCTGATCTTGCTTTTCCCGTGTGCCCATTGGATTTTTGATTTTATATGACAATGTTACACCGGTTGCTAGTGCCAGGAGCGTTGCGTACTACCAGTGGTTGTGCCACTACGCGCTGCTACGCGCTGCCCGTGCATTGGGGAGTCACAAGTGTTGTTAATGTGGCTGCAGCACAATCAAGATTTGTTGGTCTTCTTGGCAGAAAAGTGGGATGTCAACTTCCCGGACGGATGCTATGTGTCCGGTCTGCGGAAACAGATTGGAATCTACGAGGGCCGGAGGGAAAACGCAGCGGTGGGCATGTGAGGTTTTAATTCCTGGTAGTTTTCGTTTACGGCTTCGCGCCGGCGTAGACTTCAGTCGGAATCATTGCTTG